TTACCGACTTCTCCTGTGAGATCTACAACCTGCGCTGATGGAATGCCATTCTCCCTTGTAGAACCTATTTCCTCGCCTGAGTACAAATCTGTAAAAAAACAATATACAAAATACACATCAGGATAGTACACTTTAAAATTTAGAACATTTCTATTTCACTCTAGTACATAGAAGGCCCTCTTACCTTCAAGTTGATATTCGGTTGAATGAAGCCCATTGTCGATCAAGTCAAAAACTGTTAATTGAAAACACGCAGGAATGAAATACAAAGTGTCGATTTTTGCTATTTCTTTAGTTGTGGAGGAAAGGCTGAATGCGTACCGTGTTCTCTTTGAGGGGTCATCGCTCTGGTTTGAAGTCACTAGTGTGAAGACCTCTGGATTTCTGGTAGGGTACTTATAGAAGTAAGAAAACAAAAAAAAAAACACACGAGTGCTGCTCTGCATGTGGGAGATAACTGATGAGGGGTTGGGGCCGTTACTTCTGGTACAACCAGATTATTATTTAGTTCCAAACTCTTGTCTCCGGCTGATAGAAATAGCTTCCTGTTTCGAAAACGAACTGTCTGATAAACCCAGACCGTTTTTAACAACCGGAGTCTGGGGTTATAGATAACCAAAGTTAATAACTGGTCTACAAGATTACCTGAAGATGCTAATGACAGTTAAAACACACAACTTGATGTGGCTCATTGAGAAAACAGAGGGAGGGGAGGGATGGAAGGAGGTCCGGGGGGTGGAGCACATTCCTCAATTCACCCCACAGCCTATGCTACACCAGAATGAGAGAGGACAGAGAAGAAGAGACACAGACTCTAGAAGGATTAAAGTTTTAAGACTCACAAGTTTAAGACTAGGCTACAGCTTTGGAGTGATAATGATGGCAAGTTTGTAAGACAAAGCAATAGCAAAGTAATTTGGAACACTCTCTTATTTTGCTGCATGCTGTTGAAGGTAATTTGTAATGCTGTTTAATTTTACTCACCGTTATACCATTTTACTGCTTTACTGTCATTATTTCAATTTATTCTTCACTTGTTTACTGATGGTAAGTTTGTCACACAAAGCTTTAGCAAAGATTTTGAAGGTAATTAAAAAATGCTGTTTAATTTTAACTCACTGTTATACTATTTTACTGTAATTATTTCATCTCATTCTTTAGTTCTTAAATGATGGTAAGTTTGTCACACAAAGCTTTAGCAAAGATTTTACAAAGTTTAATTTTGGAACTCACTCTTATTTTGCTGCATGCTGTTGAAGGTAATTTTTACTCACCGTTATACCATTTTACTGCTTTGCTGTCATTATTTCAATTTATTCTTCACTTGTTTAATAATAAAGACTGACTTGATTCCAAAGAAACCTCCTACTGATCCTTTGCTGGCCCCGGAGATTCCTCCTTTTACTTATAACTCACTGCTATACTTTTTAATGATAAATTTATTGTCACAAACACCTCCTAGTTAATTCATTCAAGTTGTATTACTTAATAAAGTCTTTAAATCAATGAAAAACACACAATGGAAGGATGTACGCAACCCTCTTATCAGTTACATACAGACATATTTCCGGCTGGGGTGGGACAGGATGAACCCCCTCTTTTCAGTTACATACAGCCATATTTCCGGTTGGGGCGGGACCGGATACACCCCTCTTATCAGTTACATACAGACATCCGGTGTGGGGGCGGGACCGGAAATAGCTGTCAAAAATGAGTTTGATGGAATGTATTTGATACTTCTCTCTAATGGGATTATAATGAGATATGGATGAATGGTGAGAAGCTGTGATGGAGAAATGTATTTGATTTGCACTAAGATATTTTTAATCATTGAACTTGTAGTGATACATGTTCATAGGTGGTTAGTTCAAACATGTTGAAATGTTCAATCTATTTGATGAAAGTGTGTGTGTGTGTGTGTCCTCAGTGAAGTGTATCAGTCTCTGCAGTAGCTTCCAGCTGCAGCAGTCAGTTCAGTTTCTGTTCAGTCTGACTGAGGGAGGTTTTTGTACGACGCTTTTTCACTGTGTGAACACAGCTTGACTGTTTATAGCATGATAACTCAGACAGTAGTAAACTGCTGCATCTTCAGTCTGGACTCCACTGATGGTCAGAGTGAAGTCAGAGTTTGATCCACTGCCTGTAAAACAACCAGGAATCCCTGATGCTCGAGTGCTAGCATAGTAAATGAGTCGTTTAGGAATTTCTCCATCTCTCTGTTGGTACCAGGCTAAATAGTGGTTGTTGTTATAAACATAAACATTCTGACTGGTCCTACATCTGATGGAGACGGAGCCTCCCAGAGCAGAGCTCACTGCTCCAGGCTGAGTCACTGTGACCTGGCCTCTGGACTCTGAGGATACAGAGACAAAAACATAAAGCAGCATCATGGTTTTGTGGGCTTCATTTCAGAGGGACGGATGTTCATAGAGGAGAGGAGTTTGATTCTCTGGACTTTACCTGTGAAGCAGCAGCAGAGGAGAGTCCAGATGAGGACGCAGATCAAAGTCATGTTTTTGATGAGGAGGATTTCTGTGGCTTCTGTTGTCATGAAGGACAGCTGTCAGTCATCCAGTGTTCAACTCTCAGGACTATAAACTCTCCCAGAGCACTGGAGCATGGTGCTGCTGATGCAAAGTGGCTCTCTATGGAAATGCTCTGACTGACTCCAGCAGGGACTTAGATTACTCTGATGATGCAGTTTATCAATGGATCAATCACTTTATTAGAGAATCGATAAGACATTGGACGCAATTGTCCATTTTTCTGTCAATAAGTAAAGTGATACAGCTGAGGAGTGATTCCTGTATGTTTGAATTTGCACTTGAACAGCAAAGACGTTTAAACTGTATGTAGTGGTTCAACTCATCATTATAGCTGTTAATGTAAGTGAAGAAACACTTTGGTGATGATTGAAAACATGTGATTGTAGTCAGTTCATTTCTGTTTTGGTTTCCACTGAATAAATAATTCTACAGTTAAGTTTTTTTCATGATCTTGATAAGAAAGTTTGTTATTTATTTCCAGTGTAGTTTAATATATTTCAGGTCATTCTGTATGATGATTCTCTCTGTGCTGATTTGCATGAGAGGCTTCTTAAAGGGAAGTGAAACAATGTGTGAGTGAGTGACTGGTGGAGCAGAAAAACCATCTGACAGAAACTCCTTAAAGGAGAAAATCAGCTCTCACACAGTAAAGGTGTCCTCTAAGCTGATTGGTGTCTCCTAGGTGATGTCCGTCCCACCCTGATGGTGCTGCCCCCCTCCAGTGAGGAGCTGCAGCAGGGGAAGGCCACGCTCATGTGCCTGGCCAACAAGGGCTTCCCCTCAGACTGGAGTCTGGCCTGGAAGGTGGACGGCAGCAGCAGCAGCAGCAGCTGGGAGGAGAGCAGGAGCCCCGGGGTGCTGGAGAAGGACGGCCGCTACAGCTGGAGCAGCACCCTGAGGCTCCCTGCAGACCAGTGGAGGAAGGTGGGCTCTGTGACCTGTGAGGCCACCCAGGGCTCCCAGGCTCTGGTCTCAGAGACACTGAGGAGAGACCAGTGTTCCCAGTCCTGACCTGACTCACTGGGACTCTGCTACTGGTTTTATTCTGCTACTGCTCTCAGCCTGAATTCATCAAAGATCTCTCCCTCTCTCTCTCTTTCCTTCCCTAACTCACTCTCTTATTACATGTTTCATTGATAAATTTGTTTTTTGTTGCTGTCATTTCAATTGTTTCAATAAAATAAAGACGAGTTCATCAAAGCTGTTGTTTTCAATTCATGTTAGGGTGAAAGTTACAGTTTTGCTGTTTTGATAGTTCCATTAAATCCAGAAAGGTTAAAAATGTACAAATATTTGAGATTGTTTCTATTGTTTGGAAATGTCTTGAAATTATAAAATAATTTAAAGCATGCGTAATGCGTAAAATACGTAATATTTTGAGAGCAATTAATCAGATAATCATTAATGTAACATTAATGCAACAAAGACATTATTTGTTCAAGATTCCTTAAAGCTAGACCGTAGAAACTGCTTCATTACACAAACTGCAAATTAGATTTTTGGTGACAACAAAGATAATTTTTAAACTATTTCAAGGTAAATCAGGTTTACAATATGTGGTTTATAAATGAATTGTACTATCGGTAAAAACTCTCATGCTGAAATGGGTTTAGAAATGTCCTGAAAGTTTCATGAATCTGGTTAAACTAAAAAGTCTATGATGAATTTGTGGCATTTCAATTATGAGGTAAGTTATTATCAGCATATTATATCACAATAGTATCAGAATCAATAGTTTGATCTCAAAATACAACATGTGTGTTTAAGTTTGTTGAAAACTAAACTGTGTGACTTCAATATAAAACTTGTGAATTTCAAGTTCCATTTGATTTATCATAAATGTAATCTATAAAGGAAACATGACAATTCATGTCAGATCAGTTTTAATGTATTGGACTTATTGTCAGTAAATTACTAAAGTGTTTCTATAACTCTGCAGCTGTTGATTCAGATCAGTTCCTCTCCAGCTGAAGGAGGTTTTTGTCCGACGTTGTATCACTGTATGAACGGACGGCTGTAATCCTGCTGACAGTAATAAACTCCTGCATCATCAGTCTGGATTCCTCTGATGGTCAAAGTGAAGTCAGTTCCAGACTGACTCCCACTGAAACGATCTGAAACTCCAGACTGACGGGTTTGAGCATCATAAATCAGGAGTTTAGGAGCTTCTCCAGGTTTCTGAAGGTACCACTGCAAGTCATAACTAACACTTGTACTGGCTTTACATCTGAGAGAGACAGTCTGTCCTGGAACAACAGACTGAGCTCCAGGAGACTGAGTCAGGATGATTTCTCCTGATGAATCTGGAAAACATGAAAAAGAGGAGAAGGGTTATTGAGACAAATCCAGTTTGGAGAAAGATGATCAACATCCAAACAGAAGAGTCTCATTTCTTTAACATGGAGAACAGATGGAAGAAGGTAAATGCTGCTTGTTTCAGTGTTTCTCCATCACAGCAGAACATCATTGTGGTGAACCTGGTTGCATCCTGAAGCAAAGTTTTCAGAAGAGAGTCTCACCCTGAACAAGGAGCCCCAGGGTGGCCAGCAGTAGAATCAGTGACATCATCATTGTGCTGCCGGCGTGTCAGTGGCTCTGAAAGGCCTGGACAGCCACTGATCAACACTGGCCTCTTAACGGCTGGGAGCAGAGAGGCAGGACACATATGCAAACACACAGAGTCAGTGAGCTGTAGCTGTCCTCAACATATCATGGTGTTTCCCCCTCAGTGCTGAGAGTGTTGATCTACATATTTATATATTTACATGTAGTGGATATTGAAAACTTCCTCTACATGTAATATGGTAATATGGTGTTTTAGACAATGATTAGTGACATTAATATCAATGTAGGTTTGACATCTTTAGGTGTCTGTAATATGGAAATTTCTTCAAGTAAAGTAGTGTTGGGTGTTTGAGGGGATGCTGAGGCCGACGATCTCAGAGAGCTTCCAGAGCTTCTCAGAGCTTGGAATATTTTAACTTTGAAGCCAACGTGGACATGAAGTCTTAAAAATGCTCAGAGGAATAGGAATTTGAAAATCTACATTTAAATGAAAACTGGGTGACTCCATCTGCTAAGAAAGATCATGTGATGTGATTGAAAGCTCCACAGCAGTTAGTGGATGGATGTTGTGGTGAGGGTTTTTTTTTGCCATTTCCAAGTTTAAGAATAAACATTTAGTCTCAGTGTATTTGTGGAGTTTAGATTTGCATGTTGGAGAAAATGTGTTATTGGATATTCTTTAGTATATGCAGATATAGTTATGTCAAGGAGGTTACTTCTTTCTTTAGAATTTTTATGATTGAAGTTTATATATTTAAAATACTATTTTGTGCTTTCAGGGATGTACTGGTTTTGATTGGACAGTCTCTGATCCTGAATGTTTCTGATGCCGATCTGTTTCTTCATATTTCCAATTAAATGTATATTGTTGAAATTGCTTTAATCCCGTATGAGGCTGAGGTCAAAGGTCGTGACCAAGACTTTTCTTATCTGCTTTCCCAGGCTGGCTACTCTGGATTATTTGGCAAATCAGAAAAGACAGTGGGATCATAAAAAGACATGAATGGATCGTGAGAAGCTGTGATGGACAAAGTAATTTGATTTCATATTTTTTACAATTGAGCTTATTTTGCTACATGTTCATTGGTAGTTAAAGCAAAAGTTGGGAAATCTTCAACCTTTGTGTGTGTATGTGTGTGTGTGTGTGTGTGTGTGTGTGTGTGTGTCCTAAATTTCTAACACTGTATGACACACACTATCTACCAAAACACACTCATCACAGATAGAAATACAACATCGGTTATTTGTTTGTCATATTCCCATGTGTAGTGTTGTTGGTGCAGTTGTAATCCAGTGCTGTCATCTTGTGGATATGTTATATAATACATGCCCAAGTTACTTAAACAGGCTTTTTCCTAACATGTCTGTGTGTTGAGAGTGATTTATTCAGAGCGGAAAGGGCACCAGACACTGAGCCAGGACAGACATAAGTCTGATAAGAACTGTGCTCTGGTCCAGATTGAAGTATCTCAACAACTACAAAATGGATTGCAGAGAAATTTTGCACAGACATTTGTGGTGCCCAGAGGAAAAATCTGACTGACTTTGGTTGCTGACTTTTTCTCTTACGCCACCGGCAGGATAAACTTTTTGCTTATTCTGTGAAACACTGTATCTCAACATATAACTGACAGATTGGTATAAAATTTGTAAAGACAGTCATGGTTCCTATACAATAAATCCTAATTACAACGGAGCTCCCTGACCTTTCCTCTGGCACCACCATGACGTTCATATTCAACACCCATTTGATGGATGACCATGAAATGTGATTCACATATTCAGGTCCCCCTCCAGGTAAATTGTAATAATTTTGGTGATCCTCTCACTTTTCATCCCTGCACCATCATTTCAGTTTGTCCAGTACTTTGATTTATGAATAAATCTCTGCAGAGCTTATAACATTCACATCAGCCTCACCTTTACTCTGTGCTCAATGCTAATTAGCATATGTGATAACACACCAAACATGGTGAACACAGCAGAGGCGGGACCAAGTCATAGTTTTACAAGTTACAAGAAAGTCCCCAGTCCAGACCTATCATGTTGGGCACATCTGAGTCAAGTCTCAAGTCAAGTCCCAAGTCCTAAACTTTGAGTTTCGAGTCCTAAACAAGTCATAATGCGCTCTTTTCATAAGTTTCTTTTCCAAGTTAAAAATAAGAAAATGTGTTGAATAAAACATTAGCCTGTACAGAAAGAAGGCAGAGGAGCACTTTCACACAACAAATGTTCTATAATTTCATGAATTAAATGAAATGTTCATGTAGGGCTGCTAATTATTTTGGTCAATGTTGAGATCACAATTATTTAACATGATTACTCATTGACTTAGGAAACATTAATCTATTGAACTTTTAAAATGTAATACTTTCTTTTTAAAAACTGAATGATGAAATAAGAAATAATAATCCAACATTATTAACTTTAAGCAGCATCTATAGTACAAGAGGATGACAGCAGTTTCCCCCAAATTGACAGCTTTGGGTAACAGATGGGTTACTGAGGGGGCTCTGTGTGTTAGTCCTCAGTGAAGTGTATCAGTCTCTGCAGTAGCATCCAGCTGCAGCAGTCAGTTCAGTTTCTGTTCAGTCTGACTGAGGGAGGTTTTTGTATAATGCTTTTTCACTGTGTGAACACACCCTGACTGTTGATTTCATGAACACTCTGACAGTAGTAAACTGCTGCATCTTCAGTCTGGACTCCACTGATGGTCAGAATGAAGTCAGAGTTTGATCCACTGCCTGTAAAACGACCTGGAATCCCTGATGCTCGAGTGCTAACATAGTAAATGAGGAGTTTAGGAGTTTCTCCATCTCTCTGTTGGTACCAGGCTAAAATGTGGTAGTTGCTCGAAACATATACATTCTGACTGGTCCTACATCTGATGGAGACGGAGCCTCCCAGAGAAGAGCTCACTGCTCCAGGCTGAGTCACTGTGACCTGGCCTCTGGACTCTGAGGATACAGAGACAAAAACATAAAGCAGCGTCATGGTTTTGTGGGCTTCATTTCAGAGGGACGGATGTTCATAGAGGAGAGGAGTTTGATTCTCTGGACTTTACCTGTGAAGCAGCAGCAGAGGAGAGTCCAGATGAGGACGCAGATCAAAGTCATGTTTTTGATGAGGAGGATTTCTGTGGCTTCTGTTGTCATGAAGGACAGCTGTCAGTCATCCAGTGTTCAACTCTCAGGACTATAAACTCTCCCAGAGCACTGGAGCATGGTGCTGCTGATGCAAAGTGGCTCTCTATGGAAATGCTTTGACTAACTCCAGTTAGTTATACTATATTTTAATATGGTATAGTAAAAATACTATGATCATAACAAACCAACTTCTGCCAGTACAAATCATCTTTTCAGCACCATTATTATTGCTCTGAATAGCAATTTAAGAGACAGTAAATGCTTTTCTTTTATTCTAACAGAGTTAATGCACATCTCTGCCGTCTAATGTTGTGTCACTACGAGAACAGATAACAGGTAGGGGTTACACAGAACTATCAATCGTCTGCTGTGCTGTAGAGACACATTTATACAGATGTGCAACCGCAGCTTTAAAATTTTTTATCTTCTTCATATCACATTTATTTTCCTTTCACAGGTTGATATTCATTGTTTACTCTTCTGTTTGTTCCTTAATGTTTCATTCAACACTTGATTTGCTGTCATCAATTGAGTTATTCTTAAATGTTTTTATGGTAACACATGTGGCAATGAAACGAATTTGAAAAGTTGAACGAATATTGTATGGAAGATTCCAAAGGAAATTTAGAGATCGCTGTTTCTTGTTTATATCTGTGTCATTCTATGATACAAACGTTCATTTTGTACAGTATGACGTTGCTGGACCACAAAGTCCAATAACACGGTTGCTGAATGTAAAATTTACTACAGTTTCCTCCATTATAAAGTTGTAGCTGTTATTTGCCACAGTAATAAGGATTTGTACATTCTTCTTGTGTTAGCTCCTGTCTCCAGAGACAATAGAGCCAATGTTGTATTCCCCAACATAGTTCTGAGACTGACAACATTAAGTGGAGAGAGTTTGTGCTGAGATTGTATTTCTGATTCCAAGTTCAAGAAAGAACTTTAAATGTCAATGTATTTGTTGAATTTTTTGTTGCATATAAAAAAAATGCTTTGTATTCAGTAATAGTAATGTGTAGATGTAGTCAGATGACGTACGTGATTCATGATTTTTTAATAATTCCAATTGATATTTAGCTGTTCTTTACACAACTGTCACGTCCCCGGCTTGTCTAGGGGCGTGGGACTAACAAAGAGAAATAAACCGGGTGGAAAAAACCATGGGTGACCCAAAACACGTCAAGTTAATGTATTTATTTCAAATTAGTAACAAAAAAAGGTGTTTAACAACTTAAAGCGATCTTTCATCCTATCAGAGATGATATGGGGTTTGTTATGTAAAGTAAATTAATTAACAAGATATTCAGCGAAAAATATGCAACACAATACACGGTCTCTACGGCTCCCAAAGTGCTGGTGAGGCACATGTGGAGATCGCCGCTCCTCTCACTACACCGGCTTTCAGTTGGTCGTGAACACCGGGCCGACGGCTGCCACCGCAGAGTCACCAGACATACAGCGCGAGAAGGAGTTAAGATCACGTCCCGCTACGGACCACACAATAAACCACACAGTAAGTCATACAGTCTAACACGAGCAGCCAAGGAAGAGTGAGAGTCAGAGCACTTCACTGGCTCAGCTTGAAACCCACTGATGGCCGCTGACCAGCTCCAGCTGCGGGATTTACGCAGCGCCAGGCTCAGGCCCAGGTACAGACCTGCAGAAAAGAGACAGAGACACCCACAGCAACACAAGCACAACCCACAGACCTCACGGGTCGTAACAACATTTTTATATTTGAAATAATATTTTGTGAGTTGAGGGAGTTTTGTTTGGACCATTTTTTACCATGAAGGTGTCTGATGCTGATCTGTCTTCATATTTCCTTTAAACTGGAGCCAGAATGAGATAGAGGTCAAAGGTCATGGCCAAGCACAATAGCTGTTAAAGGAACAAGGGTGACATTTTCAGTCCACTTAATGAAATTTTGTATGTGTTGAGTATGTGTGTGTGTGTGTGTGTGTGTGTGTGTGTGTGTGTGTGTGTGTGTGTGTCCTCAGTGAAGTGTATCAGTCTCTGCAGTAGCTTCCAGCTGCAGCAGTCACTTCAGTTTCTGTTCAGTCTGACTGAGGGAGGTTTTTGTACGACACTTTTTCACTGTGTGAACAACCACTGACTGTTGATATAATGATAACTCAGACAGTAGTAAACTGCTGCATCTTCAGTCTGGACTCCACTGATGGTCAGAGTGAAGTCAGAGTTTGATCCACTGCCTGTAAAACGTCCTGGAATCCCTGATGCTCGAGTGCTAGCAAAGTAAATGAGGAGTTTATGAGTTTCTCCATCTCTCTGTTGGTACCAGTGTAAACGGTTAGAGCTATATACATTCTGACTGGTCCTACATCTGATGGAGACGGAGCCTCCCAGAGCAGAGCTCACTGCTCCAGGCTGAGTCACTGTGACCTGGCCTCTGGACTCTGAGGATACAGAGACAAAAACATAAAGCAGCGTCATGGTTTCGTGAGCTTCATTTCAGAGGGACGGATGTTCATAGAGGAGAGGAGTTTGATTCTCTGGACTTTACCTGTGAAGCAGCAGCAGAGGAGAGTCCAGATGAGGACGCAGATCAAAGTCATGTTTTTGATGAGGAGGATTTCTGTGGCTTCTGTTGTCATGAAGGACAGCTGTCAGTCATCCAGTGTTCAACTCTCAGGACTATAAACTCTCCCAGAGCACTGGAGCATGGTGCTGCTGATGCAAAGTGGCTCTCTATGGAAATGCTCTGACTGACTCCAGCAGGGACTTGATTACTCTGATGATGCTGTTTATCAATGGATCAATCAGTTTATCAGAGTATTCATCTCAAATGGTTTAAAATCTTTTTTACATGATTTTGGTTTCATGCTACAAGATATTTTGTTTCAAAATATCTTCTGCCTAAATTTCCAAAGAAAAAATATAGAAATTGAATTTAACATTAATATATCTAACTAAAACATCCATTCTGGAAATTTGTGTGACTGTCTTAATTTTACATCTCAGCTGATAAAATATTACAAACAGAAACTATTTTTGGTGAGTTTGTTTGTGTCAAAGTCAGAGAGCCGTGTCTCTCTACAGTGAGAGGTTTTTGTACGGCGGCTCAATGAGTTTGTATTACTGTGGTTGACTTTTGGTGGAGGAACCAGACTGGATGTTGGAAGTAAGTCAAACATTTAACAAACTTTTATTGAGTTGTTGTTTTTTTCTTTTATATTCAGCATGCCAAAAAACCTTTTGAATGTCCATATTAATGTATAATGTTTAATCTAATACTTTGCACTAGGAAACAAAGTTCCCTTCACCAAAAAAAACTCAACTCATTGCAATGAATATATTACATATTAGCAAAAGGGATAATGATTTCCATCTTTAATGGTTAAGTTGTACCTTGAGAGGTTGTAGCTTTAGTTCTGCCTGAAAAAGTCTACAGTGAGGGTTTTTTGTAGTGCAGCTCAATGTGTTTTTCTCACTGTGGTTGACTTTTATTGATATTTTAAATTCAGCTTTTGAATGTTTGATGGAGATAAATATATTTAGTTTGTTTCAGTGATTGGGTTTTTATTTCTCCTCATTTACCAGCAGCTTTACTAAACATTTCTTTACACATTACTCACACTGAAATTCAAACAGCTTGAAGTGGAGAACAGATAAATAATAACAATAATAACTTTAGTTATGATTAAATACAACCCCGCGACCCTGTACGCAGGATAAGCGGTTGATGATGGATGGATGATTAAATACAATTCACTTTCTCCACGTAATGATTGAAATCTGGATGAAGAACATTTGATTATTGTCAATTAGTTTGATATGTTTCAGGTCATTCTGTATGATGATTCTCTCTGTGCTGATTTGCATGAGAGGCTTCTTAAAGGGAAGTGAAACAATGTGTGAGTGAGTGACTGGTGGAGCAGAAAAACCATCTGACAGAAACTCCTTAAAGGAGAAAATCAGCTCTCACACAGTAAAGGTGTCCTCTAAGCTGATTGGTGTCTCCTAGGTGATGTCCGTCCCACCCTGACGGTGCTGCCCCCCTCCAGTGAGGAGCTGCAGCAGGGGAAGGCCACGCTCATGTGCCTGGCCAACAAGGGCTTCCCCTCAGACTGGAGTCTGGCCTGGAAGGTGGACGGCAGCAGCAGCAGCAGCAGCTGGGAGGAGAGCAGGAGCCCCGGGGTGCTGGAGAAGGACGGCCGCTACAGCTGGAGCAGCACCCTGAGGCTCCCTGCAGACCAGTGGAGGAAGGTGGGCTCTGTGACCTGTGAGGCCACCCAGGGCTCCCAGGCTCTGGTCTCAGAGACAATGAGGAGAGACCAGTGTTCCCAGTCCTGACCTGACTCACTGGGACTCTGCTACTAGTTTTAATCTGCTTTCTGTAACTCTGTCTCTCTCAGACAAAAGTTTTAAATAATGCTTTTTCTTATTCATAGTCACGCTGACTCTGTTATCTTTTTCAGATAATAAAGATAGTTTTGTTCAAATCAAAATGTTTCTGAGGATATTATTATTTAAACAGAAGTATTATTCTTTTTAAAATTAAAATTATTAAACTACTGTCAGAGCTTATTAATAGACATTTTCTAGGCTTTAATTTTAATTTTATTAAAATGTCTGAAATCATAAAACTACATAAGTACAACATGATAATGTTTTCATTTTTCAATGTTATAATAAAGCATATTTATGTGGATAAGAAAGATAAGTGAAAGTCCTGTTCAAAATTACCTTTACATAACTGTAAAACAGAATATATATAGTTTTACAGCACAGGAAAAGAATAACAGGAAACATCAGCATAAATGGATATAACATTCAAGTAATCTGAAACATAAACGTATTTTAGTAACATCTCAAGCACAAATGTAAAAAAAAAGATGAAGATGATTTCTAATGGGTTACTATTTATAAAGTGGATTAAATTTCATTATTAAACATTTAGTTTCTGAGTTTTATAGTACAATTTCATTTGTAGTGATTTACTTTTGCACTGAGTTTTGTGTTGAATTTATTAAAAAGAGTAAGAATTGTCATCTGTATGAACTGTCTAATGACACAGTTGACATCAGTTGACTAAAAGTTAGAGAAGTTGTAGAGAAATGTATTCTTCACCCAAAATCATGGTCAATAAATGCAGTACTGTTATGTTTGAAATGTTATTAATTTACACATAATTATAAGAAATATTTTTGTCATGTCTTATGTTTAATTTTCTGTGCAGCTGTTGATTCAGATCAGTTCCTCTCCAGCTGCGAGAGGTTTTTGTACGACGTTGTATCACTGTGTGAGTGGGAAGCTGTTATGCTGCTGACAGTAATAAACTCCTGTATCTTCAGTCTGAACTCCTCTGATGGTCAAAGTGAAGTCAGTCTGTTGGGCTGTTGCACTGAAACAATCTGAAACTCCAGGCTGATGAGCTGTAGTATCATAAATGAGGAGCTTCTCCAGCTTTCTGAAGGTACCAGTTAATGTCATCACCTATAAGTGAACTGGCTTTACATCTGAGAGAGACAGTCTGTCCTGGAACAACAGACTGAGATCCAGGAGACTGAGTCAGGATGATTTCTCCTGATGAATCTGGAAAACATGAAAAAGAGGAGAAGGATTATTGAGACAAATCCAGTTTGGAGAAAGATGATCAACAGCCAAACAGAATCTCATTTCTTTAACATGGAGAACAGATGGAAGAAGGTATATGCTGCTTGTTTCAGTGTTTCTCCATCACAGCAGAACATCATTGTGGTGAACCTGGTTGCATCCTGAAGCAAAGTTTTCAGAAGAGAGTCTCACCCTGAACAAGGAGCCCCAGGGTGGCCAGTAGTAGAATCAGTGACATCATCATTGTGCTGCCGGCGTGTCAGTGGCTCTGAAAGGCCTGGACAGCCACTGATCAACACTGGCCTCTTAACGGCTGGGAGCAGAGAGGCAGGACACATATGCAAACACACAGAGTCAGTGAGCTGTAGCTGTCCTCAACATATCATGGTGTTTCCCCCTCAGTGCTGAGAGCGTTGATCTACATATTGACATATTTACATGTAGAGGATCCTGAGAACATGTCATTTTCAGTAACTTCTACATGTATTATGGTAATATGGTGTTTTAGACCATGATTAGTGACATTAATATCAATGTTGGTTTGACATATTTAGGTGTCTGTAATATGGAAATTTCTTTAAGTAAAGTAGTGTTGGGTGTTTGAGGGGATGCTGAGGCCGACGATCTCAGAGAGCTTCCTCGAGAAACTCCAACCAGAAAACATGGAAGTCATCATCAGTTACATTACTGTTTTTATGACATGATCTTCCTCAGCAGATGGAGTTCACCCAGCTGTCATGGAATATTTTAACTTTGACGCCAACGTGGACATGAAGTCCTAAAAATGCTCAGAGGAATGTGAATTTGAAAATCTGCATTTCAATGAAAACTGGGTGACTCCATCTGCTAAGAAAGATCATGTGATGTGATTGAAAGCTCCACAACAGTTAGTGGATTGTAGTGAACAACGGTGTGGATTTGTGCATTTTACATTGAATAAATTTGGAGCTACCCTAAATTCCTTTCTCCTCCCCAGAGAAGAAGGGGAGGGGTCAAAGTTGCTTTCTCTAAGTGCTATCCCGACCATAAAACTGGCACCTTTTTGATTCCGAAGCTGATAACGCGGGGCCTGACTGTTAAACTGACAAAGGGACACGAGCCAGCCATTGGCATCTCCCTGAACAGCCTATCAAAACTGGCCCCCCACACACGTTTCCGTGGCAACTGACCTTATTCTTTGTTTTATTACCACATCAAAGGGATACTCCTTGTCTCACCTAAGTGTGACATTGTCCAGGACAGCTGAACTTTCAATGTAAAAGGACTGCAGTCTCCAAAAGACTCAAAGCATCTAATTAAATTTAATTAAATCTTTAGTTACCTGAATATGTTTGCCTCTATTTGAGTAGTTATGTTAACTGTTGTTGCTATCTGTTGTTGATATTAGTGCTGAAAAGAAGTTACTTGTGCAATGTTTTTATTTTCAGCAAGACACTCCTTCATCTAATGTAATCAATGCTTGTTCATAATACTTTCCTACAAAATTTTAGAAATGATGACAAAGAAATGTTTTACTATACTCTTAATCGCCAGCTTGAATTTAAGGATGAATCAACAAATTCCCCGGTTCCTAAGGAGAGACGATCTTCGATTTAATCCAAGCTTTCCTCATGTAACCTGAGCTCCCCCAAGTGGGCGAAATAAGTATTACATGCCCTCGTCGGAAATGCCGTTAAATGTATAAATATCCTGACCACTAATGTGACAATTGTTTCCTGTTACCAAATGCCTAGAACGGTACAACCGTTCAACCATTGAGGTTCGATTGTGGAAAATATTTGATGATAATACGTGCAAATAGATTTCTTTTCTTTAGATATTAAGTTTAGAAAGGCAGTCCCTTGGGAAACCTGAGACGCCCCCTGGGGAACCACGCCCCAGACAACAAAAGAGCGACACGCGACCTCGCGTACTTTCTCTTCACTTCGCTGTTGGCTCTGCCACCCTGCTCGGCCCTCTGGACGCTTCGGCACGAGCAGTGTGCCTCGCCAGGCAACGCCCAGACTCGGCCAGCGAAACAAACAGGCCCCTTTGTTCGCTTGAAGCTACACACCTGAAGTGCCGCGACATCAATCTGCCTTCAGTTTGTTTTAATTTCTTTATTTCTTTTGTTTGTTAAGGTTATCAGTCCGTTAAGTTACACTGGACTAATTCAGGAACGACCAAGTTCCATTTTAAGCCTTTTTCGTCGAGCCAACTTCACCGAGGTCAGACCAAGCCACGTGGTCTCGCCAGCTACAACGAAGGAAACCTGAAAACAGCCCAATTGCCAGACGGAGGAGGCGTTTTCAATCAGACACGGAGAACCCTGGAGAATCCCTAGCAAAAAGCCAGGATCGGCAGCTAGCGTGGGACCCGTGCAACAGGCCAAAAGCAGGCTGTCGACAAGCAGTTTTGTCCCAATTGTTTTGGGATTTGTGCTGCTTGTGTCCCCCCTTCCGTGAAAAGTGATGGGTTTCACAGCGGTTGGGCATGTACCTGGGCCGATGGGCCTAAGATTTTGGCTCTTCTCAGACCAGGATGGCTCTGAGTGACGTCGACCGTGCTCATTTTGCTGAGGCAGGCTGCACCTCTGCTTCTGGCTTGGTCTATAATTCTGGGAGGTGATGCAGGTTGACGCAGGTGTTTCAAGACCAGGAGCTCGTTTTGGCTCCACCTGTAGGGAATTGATGCTGAGAGTGAGGACACCATGGGGCTCAGAATGCCTCGTCATTGTGAGTCTCTGCTTTTCAAATCCTTTTGTAGCTAACTCACGTAGCTGTCGACTGGTTTGGGTGCGTGGGCAGGCTGCTACACCCAGATGATGACTGGTAGTGGGGGGGAGGTTTTGGATAGAAAGGTATTTGAAGCTCAACTCTTCCTCCATATCCGGCTCATTTTTGGTACCAAAGTACGCTTGTCTGAGTCGGTTGTAGTACTGCTGAGGAGGTTCTGGCCTCCCTTGCTTAACAGCAAGTGCAGCTGTTAGACCTGATTGTGCTGTCAAGTCAAAATATTCCTCCACCAGTGCCTGGCAGAGTGAGTCATAATCTTGCCTTACATACCTGGGCTGGCGTTTAATAAAGCTGCTGACCTCTCGACTAGATGTCACCTTGATCAGGTAAATCTTGTCGTCAGTGGTGGCAGCAGGGAATTTCCGCAAGTAGTATTCAATATCTTTTAGATAGATACTGGTCTCATTTCAGCCTGTAGACTCAGGCTTGAAGCGTGTTATGTGGCGAGCGATTTTGTCTAAGTCTCTGTCAGAGGGGCTTAAGTCATGGTCAGCAGTGGGCGGTGGATGCAGCCGGGGGGAGTAAGCAGTCTTCACCTGAGTAGGTGGAGGGCTATTTCTCTGGCGCTCTGTCATATGATCCTGTGGGATCAGTTATGGGAGTGGTCGTGGAGACCATCCTCCTGAGGCTGGCAAAGGGGAGCAAGCCTTGTCTCTCTCTGGTGGGAGTGTTTTGTAGAAGGGAGTTTGTTGGGCTGTCTCACATCCTCCCAGCCCAATCCTCCTTGTTTTCCTGCTGTAGCGGGGATTGGGTTACTCTGTCCCTATCCTCTAGCTGTCTTCGCATTTCTTGCATGCGTTTTTGGTCAGCTTCTCTAAGTTTGCTATAAACCTTGACGTGTAATTTTAGCTCTTTAATTTCCCCCACTGCTTGTCTAAGGAGGGTTTCTGATTGGTCAAGGGATTCAGTTGTGTCTTTAAGTTTACTTTTAGTCCACTCTAACTCCTGTTCTTGCTGAAAGAGTGAGTGTTCAAGCTGATTGGCCTTTTCTTGCAGCTCAATTTTCTCCTCATCAACTCCACCCTCCTGTGGGAGGTGGCAAGGAGCCTGTAGGTCAGTGATGCGTTCTTCCGCTTCACTTAGTGACTGCCTGGTGTTTTCCAGCTGCTGTTCAAGCTGGTGCGTGTGCTTAGACTGGGCAGACATTACAATAGCTAGTTTTCCTAGCATCTGGGACAAGGCTTTGTCCTTTGAGGAAGTGGCTAGAGCAGTTGTTACCAGCTCTGCAAAAATTGTTTCAAGGTTCACCGCGTCGGTGCCTTGTAGTTGGCTTGAGTAGCCAGTTACCATGGTCTCGGTCATGTGGGCCAAGATGGAGTCAAAGTGTTCCAGTGGGTCGCCCCCACTGGCTGCCACTAAGCGTGGGTCTGCCGTGTTCACAGGCAGGTACTCTTTGGTTAAGGACTTTGGTGTGAGTCCAAATCAGACAACAAACAAGTGTGTCAACTCAGAGGATATGCATAAAAATACAAAAAATAAATGGGTGTTGCTTCTATAGTTTCCTGGAGCTGTTGATGTTCCTTTAAGTCAATTTGGAAGGTTGGAATCTGAAGAACAGAAGGATCAAAATCAAATCTATGGACTCAGTTATACAATTTGGTTTAATAAAATCAGAAGTGGACTACAGGTGTTAGCTGGTACAGCAGACCTGAGCCAGTCAGTTAAACTTTCATTAGCTCTTCTATGCCGTATGAGTCAAATGCTTCCCACAATCGAACCTCCAGGCTCATTGTTCAGCAAATGTTTATGTTCCCTGTATCCAACCGTCTTTTTATCACCTTAGTTAGAGAATAAATTCACTGTAATATAATCAAGAGCTGTGTGTGTTGCCTATTTATAGTTCCTGCCAAGAGAATTGACCCTTTAGATATGAGACTGACTGACTGATTTAAGATAATTGAGCGATTATTAACTAAATGATCACTAGTAATAATTGTATAATTATTCAAAACTACCTAGAGGTCCGGAGACTCGAGGATTATAACAACTCCGGTGGTGCCCTTAACGAGGAAATTTAGATTTTATGAATAAAAATTCATAATTGGGTACCAATTCTTATAAATTTATTAAAATGCATAACTAATAAATTTAGCTCTACTACACTGAGCAGGTCACCAGTCCATCGCAGGGCCAAAGTGGACATGAAGTCCTAAAGATGCAGAAATTTGAAAATCTACATTTCCATCAAAATGACTCCATCTGCTAAGAAAGATCATGTGATGTGATTGAAAGCTCCACAACAGTTAGTGGATGGATGTTGTGGTGAGTTTTTTTTTTTTTTTTTGCCGTTTCCAAGTTTAAGAATAAACATTTAGTCTCAGTGTTTAGTGTTTAGTCTCGGAGTTTAGATTGCATGTTGGAGAAAATGTGTTATTCGATATATATATCGAATAACATATATATATATATATATATATGTTATACTATATATAGTATATGCAGATATAGTTATATCAAGGAGGTTACTTCTTTCTTTTGAATTTTTATTATTTAAGTTGATATTTAGCTTTGCTATAGATAACATGCGTTTATATATTTAAAAAACTCTTTTGTGCTTTCAGGGATATATTGATTTTTTTTGGACAGTCTTTGATCCTGAATGTTTTTGATGCCGTTCTGTGTCTTCATATTTTCAATTAAATGTACATAGTTGAAATTGCTTTAATCCAGTATGAGTTTGAGGTCAAAGACTTTTCTTATCTGCTTTCCCAGGCTGGCTACTCTGGATTATTTGGCAAATCAGAAAAGAGAGTGGGATTATAAAAAGATCTGAATAGATGGTGAGAAGCTGTGATGGACAAAGTAATTTGAATATTATTTTGCTACATATTCATTGGTGGTTAAAGCAAAAGTTGTGAAATCTTGAACCTCATAGATGACATGTGTGTGTTTGTGTGTGTGTGTGTGTGTGTGTGTGTGTGTGTGTGTGTGTGTGTGTGTGTGTGTGTGTCCTCAGTGAAGTGTATCAGTCTCTGCAGTAGCTTCCAGCTGCAGCAGTCAGTTCAGTTTCTGTTCAGTCTGACTGAGGGAGGTTTTTGTACGACGCTTTTCCACTGTGTGAACAACCACTGACTGTTGATATAGTGATTACTCAGACAGTAGTAAACTGCTGCATCTTCAGTCTGGACTCCACTGATGGTCAGAGTGAAGTCAGAGTTTGATCCACTGCCTGTAAAACGATCTGGAATCCCTGATTCTCGAGTGCTAGCATAGTAAACGAGGACTTTATGAGTTTCTCCATCTCTCTGTTGGTACCAGGCTAAAAGGTGGTTGTTGCTCCAAACATGAACATCCTGACTGGTCGTACATTTGATGGAGACGGAGCCTCCCAGAGCAGAGCTCACTGCTCCAGGCTGAGTCACTGTGACCTGGCCTCTGGACTCTGAGGATACAGAGACAAAAACATAAAGCAGCGTCATGGTTTTGTGGGCTTCATTTCAGAGGGACGGATGTTCATAGAGGAGAGGAGTTTGATTCTCTGGACTTTACCTGTGAAGCAGCAGCAGAGGAGAGTCCAGATGAGGACGCAGATCAAAGTCATGTTTTTGATGAGGAGGATTTCTGTGGCTTCTGTTGTCATGAAGGACAGCTGTCAGTCATCCAGTGTTCAACTCTCAGGACTATAAACTCTCCCAGAGCACTGGAGCATGGTGCTGCTGATGCAAAGTGGCTCTCTATGGAAATGCTCTGACTGATTCCAGCAGGGACTTGGATTACTCTGATGATGCTGTTTATCAATGGATCAATCAGTTTATCAGAGTACTGATTATGAATGAGTGAGAGTTAATTTGAATGCTGGGATGGAAATTGTAAATATACTTGTGAAGAAACAAATAAATAAAGAAGTTACAACAAACTGATGCCTTTGTGATATTTATTAAAGATAAAGGCAGAGCTCACACTTATTAGGGCCACTGTAGGTTAAAGAAATTAATAATTTACCAAGGACTGTGAGCATTAAGACTTAGTTTTACTGTCAAGTTAAAGGTTTTAGTTAAGGTAGGGTTGTGGCTCGGAATGTGTGTGTTTGTTTGTGTCTTTTCCACATACATTTTGTCACAAGGACAACATAGTGTTGCTTGTCTGTATCTTTAAACAATAAAGATCACTCACCAATCAGCCATAACAGTATGACCACCTGCTGGTCATTTAGGTCTCCCTTTTGCCGCCAAAACAGCCCTGTCCCGTCGAGACCGGGACTCTGTCAGAACCAGCTTAAACTTTTTCAACAATTTCACCTACAGTAGCTCGTCTGTGGATTGGGCCACACGGACCAGCCTTTGCTCCCAACATGCATCAATGAGCCTTGGCCGTCCATGACCCTGTCGCCGGTTCAGTGCTTTTTTTCCTTGGACCACTTTTGATAGGTACTGACCACTGCGGACCGTTTTGGAGGTGTTCTGACCCAGTAGTCTAGCCATCACAATTTGGCCCCTTTGAAAGTAGCTCAAATCTGTACACTTGCCCATTTGTCCTGCTTCTAACATTTCAACTATGAGGACTCAATGTTCTCTTGCTGGCTAATATTTCCCACCCACTGACAGATGTCATGAAAATGAGCTCATCAGCTTGATTTACTTCCCCTTTCACAGCTCATATAGTTATGGCTGATCTGTGTAATTATAAAGATCAGTTGTGTTGCTGTCTTCCTGAAAACAGTAGATTATTTAATTCCACAAAGAATGAGTCTGCCTCTGTGTTTATAAAGTCACAGACTTAAAATTATAACCATTTCCCATCTGTAGTGTTATCTGGACAGTTGCAAACCAGTACTGTCCTCTTGTGGAATTGTTTTGGTACTACACAAGTGTTCAAGTCACTAATATAGGCTTTTCCCTCAAGTGTTATTCAGAGTTATTTAAACAGATCCAGTATGTAAAAGTCCAAACACTGTTTCGTCTGGAGAGTCAATATTGTCATTCAAAAACAGTGTCCAGCTTAATTAGGTCAATGGATAATCCACAGAACGTAGTCATACAGGGACAGTTTTACTTAGAGAAATAGTGCCTATGAAGGGAGGTTGTGGAAATTGAATTAACCTCCTCTCTATGGGGTTGAGAAATCTCAGAAACATTTTAAAACCATGACAAATAAAACATAACTGCTGCATTTTATGAAGAGAGCAGGATGCTGGAGAAGGACGGCCGCTACAGCTGGAGCAGCACCCTGAGGCTCCCTGCAGACCAGTGGAGGAAGGTGGGCTCTGTGACCTGTGAGGCCACCCAGGGCTCCCAGGCTCTGGTCTCAGAGACACTGAGGAGAGACCAGTGTTCCCAGTGCTGACCTGAATCACTGGTACTGGTTTTACACTGCCACTGCTCTCAGTCTGTCTGGTTCTCAGTTTCTCTCATGAGATGTTTCAATATGGACCTCAGGTGGTTAATGTGCTTGTGTTGATCGTTGATTGATTTTTATCATGTAGACTATATTATAAAAGTAACACATCTTGTTGACTTACTTTCTTTGACATATATGTTAGCAACATTAGTAAGTTTCATAATATCAAGTTTTTTTTTACCAGGTTACTTTTTGATGGTTTGTGTTCTTTGCTATTACTAATGTCACCATTGGATAATATACACACACCTAGAAATTATTAAAAGTAGAATTTAAAAGAAGGAAGGTATTATCTGCATAAAGTGATTTGATATATTCCACCAAATAATATTTAAATGAGACTTTGTCACTTCACCAAAAGAGAACGACTGTTTCTGTCTCTTGGTGTCAGCACAATTAACACATTGTGATTTTTCACTGCTTGTAGTTTACACCCATCCCATTTACCAAATCAGCTGTATCCCTGCACATTATAAACAGATAACTGTTGTTGTTGTTGCTGTCTTAAATTAAAATAGTGGATCCATTTAATCCAAAGAGACTGGATTATTCTTAGAGTCAGATCACCAGGATTTTATACTTTTATGTGAACATTTTACACAGAAATAATGCTCAGTGTCCTGCTCTGTTCTGAAATGCTCTCTGTTATATAGAGGTATATCATGTATGAGTTTGACAGTCTTAAGGTACTTTTTTTAAAGCAAAGTAAAGTTAAAGTTAAACATTTTTAACAAAATTAAGTTATTGATTTTGTGGTAATGTTACTTAGTCTATAATTAAAAGCTGAAGTAAAACAATTTTGGTTCTGACTTTGAGCAAACTTACAGTGTGCACAAACTGCATAAAATATACTCCTAAAAGTGTACTTAAATATATGTATTTTTCATGCTGAAAGCATTGCTGGTGTATACCATAAAAATGTATGTTAATCCAATATCTAGCTATAGTTTCTCTGCAGCTGTTGATTAAGATCAGTTCCTCTCCAGCTGAGGGAGGTTTTTGTACGAGATTGTATCACTGTGTGAACGGCCAGCTGTAACAGTGCTGACAATAATAATGTATCTTCAGTCTGGACTCCTCTGATGGTCAGAGTGAAGTCAGTTCCAGATCCAATTCCAGTAAAACGATCTGAAACTCCAGACTGACGGTTTGTAGAATAATAAATCAGGAGTTTGGGAGATTCTCCAGCTTTCTGAAGGTACCAGATGAGGCAAGTACCAGCACTTGAACTGGCTTTACATCTGATAGAGACAGTCTGTCCTGGAACAACAGACTGAGCTCCAGGAGACTGAGTCAGGATGATTTCTCCTGATGAATCTGGAAAACATGAAAAAGAGGAGAAGGGTTATTGAGACAAATCCAGTTTGGAGAAAGATGATCAACATCCAAACAGAAGAGTCTCATTTCTTTAACATGGAGAACAGATGGAAGAAGGTAAATGCTGCTTGTTTCAGTGTTTCTCCATCACAGCAGAACATCATTGTGGTGAACCTGGTTGCATCCTGAAGCAAAGTTTTCAGAAGAGAGTCTCACCCTGAACAAGGAGCCCCAGGGTGGCCAGCAGTAGAATCAGTGACATCATCATTGTGCTGCCGGCGTGTCAGTGGCTCTGAAAGGCCTGGACAGCCACTGATCAACACTGGCCTCTTAACGGCTGGGAGCACAGTGTGTGTGTGTGTGTGTGTGTGTGTGTGTGTGTGTGTGCGTGTGTGTGTCCTCAGTGAAGTGTATCAGTCTCTGAAGTAGCTTCCAGCTGCAGCAGTCAGTTCAGTTTCTGTTCAGTCTGACTGAGGGAGGTTTTTGTACGACGCTTTTTCACTGTGTGAACACATGCTGACTGTTGATCCAATGATAACTCTGACAGTAGTAAACTGCTGCATCTTCAGTCTGGACTCCACTGATGGTCAGAGTGAAGTCAGAGTTTGATCCACTGCCTGTAAAACGATCTGGAATCCCTGATGCTCGAGTGCTAGCAAGGTAAATGAGCCGTTTAGGAGTTTCTCCATCTCTCAGTTGGTACCAGGCTAAATAGTGGTTTGGGCTGCTATAGTAAACATCCTGACTTGTCAAACATCTGATGGAGACGGAGCCTATCAGAGCAGAGCTCACTGCTCCAGGCTGAGTCACTGTGTACTGGCCTGTGGACTCTGAGGATACAGAGACAAAAACATAAAGCAGCGTCATGGTTTTGTGGGCTTCATTTCAGAGGGACGGATGTTCATAGAGGAGAGGAGTTTGATTCTCTGGACTTTACCTGTGAAGCAGCAGCAGAGGAGAGTCCAGATGAGGACGCAGATCAAAGTCATGTTTTTGATGAGGAGGATTTCTGTGGCTTCTGTTGTCATGAAGGACAGCTGTCAGTCATCCAGTGTTCAACTCTCAGGACTATAAACTCTCCCAGAGCACTGGAGCATGGTGCTGCTGATGCAAAGTGGCTCTCTATGGAAATGCTCTGACTGACTCCAGCAGGGACTTGTATGTGAAATATAGTCATCATATACATAACAAACCAACTTCTACCAGCACAAATTATCTTTTTAGCACCATTGTTACTGCTCTGTATAAAAATTTGTAAGATGACTGCTTCTGTTTTTTCTAATGGAGTTATTGCACATTCCAATTCTAATGTTGTGTCAGTACCAGAACAGGTAACAGGTAGAGGTTACAAAGAACTGTCAGTCACCTGCTGTGCTGTGGAAACACCTTGATACTGATGTGTGAATTTTAATGCTTCATTTGCAACACTTGATTTGCTGTCAGTGAACCCAGACTGGATGTTAACTGTAAGTAAATTTGACTCTTTTAATAACCAAAGTTAATTTAATTTCATAACTGTAGACATTGCAGTATTTTAGCTGTTGCAATGATTCTTGAATGCACTACATTATGTCCTCCAACAGATTAAAATCTTCTTCAATTAACCAGTTTTGTATCACAAGAATTAAATTTCAGCAGTTTCAAGATATCATGTTTTCGGTCTGACAAAAAAAATAATTTTTCATATGTTTTGTGAAGATTATTGTAAAATGTATTTTTTCAACCTTACATGTTTGTCATTTGCTTATTAAAGGTTCAGTGTACAATATTTAGGAGGATCTTTTGACAGAAATGCAATATAATATCCATAACTATGTTTTCAGTAGTGTATAAAGACCTTACATGATGAACCGTTATGTTTTTATCACCTTAGAATGAGCCATTTCTA